AGGTGAGCAGAGAAACCACCTGACAGGTGAGCAGAGCAGCCACCACCCTCAAGGTGAGCAGCTGGGAGCTCTCCATGAGGTTGCACCAGGTCCCCACAGGCTTGGGAAGGGAACATGGTGGGACAAACCCACCACTTTCTGCTTGAGATGAAGGGTTAGAGGATTAGAGAGATGCTGGAGCAGGAGGAGGAGGAGGCAGAGAGCAGATATGGGCAGGGAGTCACTGGGGCGTGTCCAGGTGTGGTACTGGGAGCCTGAAATCTGCCCTGCTGGGCTGGGAGATCCCTGGGGAGCTGGGAGGGCTTCTTGGTGCTTTCTGGTGTCTCCTGCTTCCAGGTAAGTCACAAATGCCGGGGCCTTTGGAGGGAGTGTGTCACCAACATGCAGGATGGGGTTAGGACCTGTGATCAGTATGACTCCATCCTGGCTGATCACCCAGGTAAGCTGGCCTGGCCTGGGGGCATTTGTTAAGTTCACAGCTCAGTCTCCTTGAAAGGGAAGGAAGAGGGAGCTCTGGGGAGGAGGGAGCTCTGGGGAGGAGGGAGCGTTTCAGGGCGCAGTCCCATCACAGTTGATGATGTGACCTGTGCCAGATCTCTGTTTTCATTGGTACATTGACATTTGCTGTTCAAAACACCAGCTACACAACCTGGGGGAAGAAACAGTCTGGGCAGCAGCATCTTCCGCCCAAGAAAGTCTTGAGCAGATGACCACATCCTGGGTGCTGATGGGTGCACTCAAGTTATTTGGTTTCTTGAGCTGGTCTAATTAAGCCCTCATTAAGTTTCTGATGAGCCTGCCGAGCACCTTCCCCTGGCCCACGGCAGCAATGGGGTTGGTGGGTCCCAGCGTGATGGTCCCACTGGGAGCTGGGTGGCTTTAGCAGGGACACAGCCAGCAACGTGGGGTGGAGACACCAGTTCCTCTGACCATTCCTCATTCCCCTTTCTGGTTGTTTTTTTTCCCCTCCCTGCCCAGTGAAGATCGTGGTGACGCGGACTCTGATGATCACAGCAGACCTCCTGGCTGGCCTGGCTTTGGCTGCGCTGGTCCTTGGGCTCGACTGCATCAAGTTCCTCAGGGAAGACCCTCGTGTCAAACTGAGGATGTGCTACGGGGCCGGAGCCACGCTCGGCGTTGGGAGTGCGTGGGCTGGGAGTGCTGGGAGGGGCAGACAGGTCTCGTGTCCCACTGGGAGCTGGGAGGGGTGCCAGGAGAGCGGCACCCCCTCAGCAGGGCCGCAGGGGGGAGGTTTGGGGAGGGTTGTGGGGTTCTTTCTGACCAGCCCCGTTCCTCCCAGGCATCCTGGGGCTGGTGGGCTCCGTGTGGTACGCGGTGGACGTGTACGTGGAGAGGGCCACGCTGGTGTCACACAACATATTCCTGGGAGTCCACTACGACTTTGGGTGGTCCTGCTGGCTGGGCATGGCCGGCTCCACCGGCTGCTTTGTGGCATCGGTGCTGCTGACCTGCTGCCTCTATGCCTGCACAGGTCAGTCTGCCCCGTCCCATCCCCTCCCATCTCCAGGAGCTTTTTGCCCTGCAGGGACGGAGTCGGGAGGGGACTCAGGTGCTTCTCGCAGGGTCCAGCCCAACCAAGGGGGAACCCCTTTGTGCCCAGCCTGTGTCCCTTGGATGGGGAGGGTACCCCAGGCAGGATGGGGCTGAGTAAGGGCATGGTGGGGATGCAGGGATCCATCCACATCCATGGTGGAGCTGAATCCCTGTGACCAGCCAGAGCCTGAGCCATCAGCTCCACCATCAGGGATGTTGGGCAGGTGATGCCTCCCCAGATGTCACCTCCAGTCCTCATGCCTGGTCCCACGGGCTGGAAGTTGACCCTGCTGTCACTTCTCCTGCCATGTCTCCACGCTGTGGCAGCCTCAAGTCCTCCTGTGACTGACTGCCAGCCGTGACACAACCCCAACTCTTCCTTGGCAGCCCCCAGCAGCCAGTGGCAACCCCAGATGCATCCCCAGCCCTGGGGCCGAACAGCCACCAGCAAGATGTACGCCATGGACTCCCGGGTGTGACGGCCAGCAGCACCTCCTGCACCCGCTGTGGGATGCTCTCCTCTCCAGTATGACCCCGTTAAAGCACCAGCACCTGTACTGGGACCTTTCTGCACCTGCTTCCAGGCTCTGACAGCTGCCAGCTGCAGCATCAGTGGCTGCTAAAAGCAAGGGTGCTGCAGCACTCACCCAGGGAAGGGGTTTTTTCCCCACTTCCAGCCAGGTTTCATGGAAATAAATCCCAGAGAAGTGTTGCTTTGAGAAAAGATGCCCCTGAGTCCCCTGGGAAAGCTGTTGGGACACTGAGGGCAGGAGGAGCTCGCTCCTCTGACGTTTCTCAGCCCACGCTTTGGAGGAATTCAGTGGGAAGCCTTTCCTGCACAGAGCAACACTGACTCCACGTGGCTGCTGGCCCCGGTCCCTCCCACCCCAGCCCTGCTGGAAGCTGCCCCTGCACTCTGGCATGGGGCAACACGGTGTTTGCACTCAAAATCGGGGTAAACCCAGGAGTTTGGAGCACTCAGTTATCAGTGTTTTCACGGGGGATCAATGGCATACTCATACTCATCAGGCACAAGAAGGTGAGTCAGTCTGAAGCCTGAGGGAGGTGCTATACCTGCAGAGTGGGGTTTTGAAGTCCACACAGAATGGGAATTCTGTTTTCCAAGTGAATTATTATCCTTCTTCACTTGCAAGCCATTATGAAAACAAACCAGAATCCAACCCCACCACCAACTCCATCCTCACCACCCCTAGTCACTGAATGCTGGTTTGGTGCTCATTTCCTTCCTTCTCACCCTCACACAAAAACCTTCACAGCCTAGGGAAGCTGGGCAGAAGCTGTCGGTGTCAGCAACACCCCAGGAACCCGGGAGAGGAGGAAATGCGAAAGCTAAAGCTGAGTGACAGGAATAAGGAGCAGGAATGACAGTTTGCTGTCAAACAGCCGTGTCCAGAGGGCAGGATGCTCACAGCTGGCACAGCACTGGGGGGGGTACAGGCACGTGTGAGCGTTAGAAGGTGCTTGGGGCACTGGAGCTCGCAGGGAAATGATTAATAAGAGACAATTATTGTGTAGAAACATCCCTAAAGCTGCCGTGGGACAGCCACCTCTGCAGTGCAGTCACACTCCATGCTCTGGGGGAACAGCCCTGCTCTCCAGGCTCTCACTGTGCCACTTGGGCGCAGCCAGAGCCGGTTTTGGCACAAGGCACAGCTCGGTCTCTGTGCTCCTGCCCCGCTGGGGGACATCTGGGGGATGTTGCTACTGCTACAGCCAACCCAGGCCCCCTGGTTTCACCCCCAGTTCCCTTCCCTGCACCCCAGCAATCCCTGCAGCAGCTGCTGCGACAACACATCTGCATCCCAAAAAATCAAGGAGCAATCTGGGCTAGTGGAAGGTGTCCATGCCCATGGCAGGGGGTGGGACTGGATGGGCTTTAAGGTCCCTCCAACCCAAACCCATCTGGGATTCTCTGATTTTGGGGTATTTCTTTCCTTTTTTTTTGTTTTTTTTTAAGCACCCTCACACCACCTCAGTTCTGGGACTGCTGTATTCCAGCAGGGACACAGCTGAGCTGCTCCTGCAAACAGCTCTTGGAAAAACACTGTGCTTACACCAGGCACTCCCCTCCCTCCTGCCTGCCCATCCCATTCCAGTGGGACTCAATTGCATCTTCATTGTTTTTTCACTTTAATTTTTGTGTTTTACCCCACCAACCCATATGCCCAAGGAATAAAGCATCTTTTTCCCCAAACATTCTAGGAACACTTAAGACCCTTCCACACAAAAGTGAGTTTAAAACACCCAAGCACACACAGTAACTCTTTAAGACCTTTATTAACAGATGCTTGCAGTTTGACTTGAAAAAATCAGGCGTATATTCCATACAAATTAAAAATGAGGTTCTTAAAAATCTCAACTTGACCAGATATGAAACAATTTACAAACTTTTAAAGGTATATTGAGAAAAAACAGGCTTTTAAAAAACGTGTTTATCATTTCCAAAAAGAGAATTCTTTAGGTAAAAATAATAAAAACCCCATGCTGCATAGATAATGCAGATAGTTCTAGTAATCTGGTCAACAGCAAAAAGCAAGCACTTAAGGTCTTCAGTTCCAATTCATTTGTTCATTTCTTATTGCTGGAATTTCGTTTTCTTCTTCATTTCTTAAAGTCTTTTCTTTGATGACTAAACTGAAAAAGAAAACGAGAAAAGGCTGATCAGACAGGTGACAGAGGTGCTCTGAATGCCAAGATTCACCTGCAACTCAAAAACTCTCCCTGAGCTGCCCGTCACATGCTCACAGGACAACTACTGATGCTTGTCAACCCTCCCCTCCAGCAACCACACCAACACCTTCCCCACAGGAGCAACACCAGACTCCAGAGGGGACCCCAGAGAACAGTCAGTCAGTTTAAATCCAAAGGGATTCTACCTGCATCTCCCCCTCCCTGCCATGGGGATGGCTGTTCCCACTGGCTCTGCCAACACACGCAGCTCAGTCACTGCCCAGAGCACAGAAACCACAACCAATATTCTCCCACGTTCCTCGACAGCAAGAGGAACCAAAGCGCCACTGTGGTGTCCCTTTGAAGGCCATGATCTAACAGTTCATCTAGGAGGTGCTGACCATCAAGAACACCAAACTGTCCTTCAGAAATCAGCACCAAACAAGCGCCAATCACTGCTAGGTTCCCCTGCAACAAGCCCAGCTTTTGGGCCCTGCCCAGCACAAAGCCCTCCCAGTCACCTCAGCACTGCAACCACAGTTCCTGCAGGCTCTGACAAAAGGACCATTTTTTTCTCAGCACTTCGATTAAATAAGATCCTCCCAAGACACTCCTGCTAATTCTGCATCAACTTTGTAGAAATGGATTCCGAGGTCTCACTGCCACCCAACACCCCGGTGGGAATGAGCTCAGTAAACTCCAAGACGTGGCTCTGCTGGCTACAGGAGTCACTACACCTGCACTGTTTTGAATTTCTGGGTGGACAGACCCTGCTGTAAGACTGAACTATTTAAGTGTAACTCCACCAACGACAATTAAAGCCTGTAACTAAGTCCTCCCAATTAACCACCGTTGGCAAAGCAAAGCCTTGCAGTTCGGTTCTGCAGGCACGGTCACTGATCACTCACAGCACACACGAGCAAGAACAAACCAAACCTTGTAAGGCACAAACTAAAAAAAAAAAATAAAAGCATCAGAAGCACGTCAGCAAAGGGCACCCCCAGGCCCCCAGCCACGCACCCGGATGATGGTAGAGATGTTAAGCCGGTATTTACTCAGCCCCGCCCTGCTCGGCCTCGGGAGCGGACGTGTTCTCAGCTGGTGGTTCGGCTGTCTTCGTCTCTTTGCCATCTTGTGGTTTAGGGTTCTCTGGGCGTCTGCGTCGGTAGTTGAAGTTACGGCGGTACCGACGTTGAGGTGGTTGCTGACTTTGGGTCTCATCCCCTTGGTTCTCTTTATCTTCTTCATTCCCATCCTCTCTAGGTTGTCTTTGACGAGGAGGACCCCTGAAAGTCAAGCTAGGCTTTAACCATGCAGCATCTGAGCATCGCCATGTCCTGGCTCTGCTGCTGAAAGACAAGCGTAAGACCAGAAGCCCATCTCCAGCATACCTGCGGAATCGTGGTCTGTAACCCCGGTACATGTTCTGCCTGACTGGTCTGCCGTCTCCTGCACCCTGGTTGTCAGCACCCTGCAAGACATCAGGCCACACAACCTCCTCAGCCCCAAGCAGAAGCGTGTTAACGCCACGAGGAAGGAGCTGAAAAGGTGTCAGGTTCAGTCAAGGCGGGCAGCAGTTCTAGGGCACAGGTGTGCACACAATGGAGAATCTTTCACTTAATCACACAAATTCAAACACACCGGGTTTTAAAAGCTATAACTTTAAGACCTTGAGCTACAGCATTTCATCTTACCGCCAAACCTCAGCAAAACCATCTGGAGCGCCAAAAGAGAAGCGTCAAGAGCCACGTCCCATCAACCCTGCTCCAAAGCAACCAAGACTATTTAGCACCACACCTTAGGCAAACATTACCTCCACTATCTCTCCCTGTACGGGAGGGTTGGAATACTGTGGACGACGCCCGTAGGGCCTACGCATATAGTAAGGTGGGTACCGCCGCCTGCGATAGGGACGGCGTTGCTGGGCTTGACCTTCTGGTATGTTCTCTGCTCCTTCGTTCTTTTCCCCACTCTCACTGTTCTGGTAGTTTTGCTGGTAGTTGCGTGGAGGGCCCCTACGACGTGGATATCGTCTGTAATGGTTACGGTCTGCTGCGTATTTACTGCCCTGCACTGGAACTCCTCCAGGTCCTGTAACGTTGGCTGCCTCCGCGCCCTAAAGAGTGGGGACAGCGTTAGGGAGACAGTCAGGCAGCCCTCCAGCTGCAGCACAACACAGTCTAGCACTGAGCAGCGATTTACAGCCACATTGTGAAGCAATGAAAAACCATTCACCTCCTCGGATGTCATCAGGCATCGACTCAAACCACAGGCACCACACCAAAGCCTGCAGTCCGAGTTTTCCATGTGAGCTCTGACACCCGAGAAGATGTGTTTACCTTTTCTCCCTCAACCACATCAAACTCCACGGTCTCTCCATCTCCTACGCTGCGGAGGTACTTCCTGGGGTTATTCTTCTTTATGGCAGTCTAACAACACAACAGTGCAGGCACAACATGAGAATACAAAGGAGTACATACGAAGACTTTATTATTTATTTTTTTTAAAGATTACTAAATATTTAAATTTCTCATCTTAGGAGAAAGATCTGTACTCCCAACACAGCAGTTGAACCACTGGGAAAAATCGAGGAAGCCACAAAATGCACCTCTGTTACTACAGTTCTGGCCTATTTGAAACGTGCAACAGCTTTACCATTGACTGGAAGCATCTGTCAACACATTGTCTGCTGGCTGAGAAAGCAGCTTGAAAACAAACAACAAAACTCCCACACCACACACGGGCCACAGGATTCCTGACCGGGGTTTAGCGTTCAGCACCACCGTGGCAGCTACACGCTCCCCTGAAGCACATACAGCAATGTATCAGCCTTTCCAATCACCCCTTTGGATTTCCAGCCCTCCACCATTTCCCACACCACCACAGGACACAGCAGCCTCTCTGGGTCCCATACTACATAAACACAGCGATGGACAGAAATCAAGGAGGTTTCTTCCTCTGAGGCTTCCAACGCCATTGCTTCCACCACAGGATTTACCAATTAATCCCCAATCTACTCTAGCTGTATCTGACACACCAAGGACTGGCCCTGCACAGATGCCAGCAGACAATCCTCTGGTTTAGACTCAATTTTCAGTGCTCTGTAGTAGTAGGTGACATCTTTGACAGATGAGTTAATGCTAGAGACCCATCACACTCAGACATGTTCTGCTGATCAAATACTTCACCTCAACAGCAACACCAGTGTAACAGCTTCAACAAAAAATACTTGCAACACAATTTGACTTGATTTTTTTTCTCCTAAATGGAACAAAATCCAAGGAAAAACATGCCCACAAGTCTCAGCCTATACAGCAGTGATTTTAGGGAAAGCCTAATTACAGCAGCAGCCAGTCCAACAGCTCTTGTGAGAACCAAGGTAGATAACGGGGATGGGGAATAGCAGACACAGCTTCTCAAACAAGATGATTTCTTTCAGATTAGACCACTAAAACTGGTTCATTGTAGCAACTATTACATTAAAACAAATCATTACCGAACTGCGATTTTAGAAACACAGACAGTAGTTACATGACAAGCCCTGAAACACGACTAGTAAGTCAAGGTCACTCACAGGTGACCCTACTTGCAAATCAGGTCTGAAAGCTTCCCCTCAGGGCACAGGTCCCTGCCTGCTCAGCCTTTCTCCACTGCCCACTACAGAATAACCTCTCACAAACCAACGCCTCTAACAGCTGGTAATTTAGACATGGAACAAGCAAGAAGCTGAGAGCTGACAAATCAAACAGAAAACACTTTCCAGGGGGTGCTTTTCCCTTCCTCTGTGTTAGTATCAGCAGCACATCCCTAATTTGAGACAAAAGGATGATCCACAGACTCCTAAATGCCAGAAGTAAGCCATGCTCCACTAAGAATTCCTTGTGGGCTGTTTCCTGACAAGAGATCCTACAGAAAAGGTGAAAAGTACACTGCTGACTACAGCCTTGCCAGTCAAAGGGCTGAGCTAAGGCTAACCCTGCTCACCAGACATTGTATCTAAGGATACTTATCTGCTAAACTGAGGAAGTCCCCATTAAAATCTTTGTAGACTTTCACTGAAAGCCTAGAGCAATAAAATCTATAAAAGTTTCTCCTAGGGAAAAAGAAGCTTCACTGGCACTTCATCCCTATTACAGCCCAACTGATTTCTCTCCCTGCTACAAGTTTTTCATTTAACTCTATTTCCAGATGCTTACTTAACCACTGTATGACTCTACAAGGAGACTGGACCCCAAGCAGTTATCCCCACACACACAGTGGCAATTCTCCTCACTGTACATCACCTCAACCCCATGTACCTCATGTGGACACACAAAATCCAGGCTCTACTTGCAACACATACAGCAACAGATGTTTGTGTTCAAGTAACAGAGAATACATGAGGTTCTCCCACTTCAATCCTACTTACGTGGGTCAGGCACAGGAAATTTCAAGAGAGGGGACATGTTTCAGTTTCAAGGAGCTCTTTCTTACCTGATGGACAAACACATCTTCCTTGGTGTCATTCCTGCAAGACAACAGGAAATTGAGATTCATGAATGAAATGCACAGTAAATTAAAAATTCAATCGTCTGGCCTGGAGCCGAAATGCAAATCTATCATGACAACAGACTCAGAGCATCGGCCTTGCTCAGCCTGAACTCAACTAGTTCCTACCAGCTTACTGCATGCAGTAAGGAGATCTGCAGGAAGCCTGTGCAAGGTGCAGAGCATGCACCCAAGCCCAGTAAGGCACATTCCTCCTCGCTCCTGCACACTCCTCTATCCTTCACATCCAAAGGATGGAGGTGTTTGAACACCTGAAAGGGACCAGTAACTCCTTCCTGGCAGTGCTCTGTGAGGAATGCCTTCTGCAGCCTTTGGAAGCAGTGGAGTCCCAGTTATCCCCTCAGCCTCGAGGAACAGCACCACCAGCTGCCCATGAAGGCAGCAGGGTCAGTTGACCCTGGATCTCCCCTCTTGAGAAGCAGAAAACAGCTCAGGTCTCTATCAACAAGGACCCAAGATCGTCCATCCTTCACCATGATCATGGCAGAGCTTTCACACTGCCACGAGGTGACCAGCTCTGGTCACAAGTTTCTGCTCTGCTCTGAGGAGGTGCAGAAACACCCCTGCACTGATTAGAGCTGCACAAGCCATCTCTCCCCTGCTCCTGACAGACGCACATCCCAGCTCCCATCACACCAACCCACCCTTGTTGTGGTGTTTCATTACTGCAGGGAACAGCTTGAATCAACAGGGAAGAGGCTTTTATGTCCTAGAAGGACTGGTTAAAGACATTAAGTAAGCTTGTGTCAAAATGTGCTCAGAACTGGAGAGCTCCCAGCTATGGATAACAGAATGTTTGGTTTGTTGTTTTTTTATAAGATAAAACCAGGTGCTCCTCACCATTGGCTTTAAAAAGTAAGAATTGACAACTAAGACTTTTTCCAAAAGCTCCATCCAAGCTATGGCTATTCTGTCAGACACCACCAGTAAAAACAAGTCACCTTGTTTCCTATGGAATTGATACCTACAAGCCCCAAAGGTTACTGGGAAAAGGCAGCCAAAAGGCAGCAGAGCAGAGCCACTCTGATCTCATCTTCAAGGCCCCTCAATGGAGCAACCAGAAGCCCTTCCAAAGCCAGAGCCTAAAGACTCTTCTTCACAACACAGGTCCAAAAGCTGAAAACCTTCACAAGAGCCCAGTAACACATTTCTAGTAAAAATACCGAGCCCCTTCCTTCAGCCTCAGCTCAAAAATGGTTGTGTTCATCCTCTGTGTTCCACAAGCACTTTTGCCAACCAGACCAGATGCTTGGTTTTAAACTCCTTTTCCAAATGTAGCTTCCATTTAAGAGGATATCTGAGTTTTAGTTGGATGACTGGGTCACCCAGAGCCCAACAGTGCACAGATAAAAAACACACTAGGCCATTTCACAGCCCCGTGCTGCTGGCCACACCATTCCCAATGCTGTTTTCCAGCAAGCACGCCTGGAAGCAGCAAGTGCGCTGTTGTGTGGATGGTGGAGCAGTAGGAGATACCACTTTCTCAAAGAAAATTTGGAAGGGTACAAGAAAAACCCCCATTCTGAAGGCCCAACAAGCCATTTAGTTGATCTTTGCACTAAGCCACTCTTATTCACATCTTTAATCCATAGGAATAAAATTAAAAAACGAATCAGACAAGCCAACAGACTGAGATAACTCCACTATAAAATCCAGCAGGGCATCAAAGGCCAGGCTGGACAATACCAAACACCAGCTCCAGCTCGGGAAGGGACAAAGCCAGCGGCCTGAACGCCCAGTTCTTATTTTGACAACCATGGAAAACAATCGACAAAGACTCAGAAATCAAACTCCTATTTCGGAGCAGAAACGCACTTCTAACATTAAAAGCAGGCAGGAAATACCTTCGGTGAGCGGGCACCTACATCAAAGCCGATTTTCTGCTCCAGAGCTGAGTTTATCTGCGAGCAGATCTGGCTGAAGCAGAGCCACGCACGGGCAGGGGCTCCCGCACGGCTTCCCTGCAGCCAGGCAGATTCCAGAGCTGAGGAAATGTGAGTGAGGAAATGTCCTCCCGTTCGGTTCCCAGGCCGCGGCTCTAATCTTTTGATAACAGCAGATCCTGCTGGGTTTCTCATTACGAATGGCAACCTCAGGGATTAAACAGCTGCCAAAGTAATGACTAGGGAAGCCACTCGGATGTCTTAACTAGCTGCTGCTGCTTCCTCACTCGACTGACATCACCGAGCATTTCCACTACTGAGGGAACAGGAAAAGCCTTCCCTCGAGGTGGGGTTTGTGGCTGAGACTTGGGAGGCGTTTCCAGAACCAAAGACACGGCAGCTCCCAGGCACTGGTGACTGCACAAGGCTGGGAGCTGGAACACGGCACGAACAACGCAAACTGGGCTGACTGGGAGGCAACTTTGTAAAGCTGCAGACACAAAACCGATTCAGGAGCTTGGCAGACACTTTGGACCAGCTCATAAAGTAACAGACAGTTCAAAAAGGCAGTGTTTAAGCCCAAGTGTAATAAAAGGCCCAATAAAAGCACTACACTTGCTGCCCTAAAGGGGGATTTC